GGCTGGGGACAAACTGCAACCAAGGTACGTGTCCTTAGCGGGAACCAAACCCGGGTCTCTCTGGACCGCAGGCCAACGCTCTAACTGCTGAGCCAAACCGGCCAGGGCTGATTATGATTTTTATTGGGCACTTAATAAATGTCAGGTATTTTGTGTATGTTAGTTAGATTTTTTAATCCCAGCAGCCCTGTGAGGTTGGTTGAACAGTTTGCCTAAAGACACAGTATTAGTAAGTGAGAGCTAGACCTTTGAACCCAAGTCTAACTCTAAAACCTGTGCTCTTAACCACCAAGCCATAATAAGAATAGAAATTGAAAACTTTGTTCTTGAAGAATGGATTTATGCCTCTCTTTTCCATCTGTAGACACTGGCTTTCTCTTCCTTGAACTATTTTAGCTGGTTAACTGAAACCTCAAATTAAAGCATTCTCAAACTTCAGAGAACAGAAGAAATCACCTTGAAACTGTTAAAAATGGGGATTTCCTACCCATCTCCCCATTGTGATTCAGCATATCTGCTGTGCGGCCCAGTGATCTGCATGTTAAAATAAGCATACCAAGGTGATTCCATCCATGTGATCAGAGGCACATAGTTTGTGAAACATTGCTCTAAATACCAGCAAGGTTAAGGTGGACTTTAACATAATGTCATACTTTTTTTTTTTTAGTCCTCACCCGAGGACATTTTTGCCATTTTTTTTGTTCAAATAGAGTGGGAGGGAGAGCGAGGAAGAGAGAGGGAGAGAGAGACATCGATGTGAAAGGGACACATTGAGTGGTTGCCACCCGCACGACCCAACCAGGGCCGGGGACAAACTGCAACCGAGGTACGTGTTCTTAGCGGGAACCGAACCCTGGTCTCTCTGGACCGCAGGCCGACGCTCTAACGGCTGAACCAAACCGACCAGGGCAATGTCATACTTTTTAATTCAAGGTTTCAAAAATGACATTTATTTTATATGGAGTTGTATTTTTCATAGACTACAATGTAGAAATTAGATCTATGGCACCTATTGAGTATAATTACTCTGAGAATGTCAGTGCTTACAAGCAGTATAGTTTATTTTTTACTATGTTTATGTTTTATTTTATTTGAAGTATGTTTCTCTTTTTTCAGAGAATATACTTGAAAAAAGTCCCTATCACTTTCTTTTCTTACACATGCCTTTTTATCATGAGGAAAAGTAGTTTATGTTAGTGATTCTCAGACTTTTCTCCCCACTCCTGTGTATTAAAGGGATCCTTCTTTCTCTGACAGTGGCCACTCCTACCATGTCTCAGCATGGTAGGAAGATGGGCTCTTATCAGAATCTGGGGAGGATGTGAGGAAACATACAGTCTTTACAAACTAATTATATGTCTTCAGATATTCTTATCTCTAAAACAAATACTTCTGAATGATGCCTGCCTCAATTTCTGTGCTGATGTGGCTTTCCTGGATATTTAACAGTACAGGAAGGGTGGGTAGGAGGAAATAATAATTGTAATACAGAAGAGACTTGAAAAGAAAGCCTGCCTGTACCTAGTGATTACAAATAATGTTGAGTTCTGTTTTCTGCTTTCCTTTCCTTCCTTCAGGACTGTTTCTTCCAAATTCCTCAAGGGCATGCACAGTATCTTCCTTTTCTTTCTCTTGTTTATGTAGTAGAAGTGCTATTTAAGATGTTCTTTTTTTCTTTTTCACATCCCATTTTTGTTTTCTTGCAGGTAGCCATTCTTTGCAGGTAAAGAGGAATTTTTTTCCCCCTGTGGCAAGTTAAATTTCTAGTCTAGACGACAGGAGCCATTAGAGAAAGCTTATCTTTTTGGATCAGAGAATAAAATTGGTTCATACTCCGTAAATGTTTATTAAATTTTTTTTAATTAGTTAAAATCAGTAAAAGTATGTGTAAGGGTCTGGGATTTTATTTTACCCTATTTAGAAACTAGTTATTAGCCTGCTACAGTTCATGTATGTGACATAACGCATGAGACTGCTGGATCAGAAACAAAGGATTTAATTACTTATGGCCCAGCAAGCAGCATAAGCATATGTTTGCAGTTAGTCCCCATACCCCCCAGGTCCCATGGGAGTAACATGAATGGGCCCAGATAGATGCCTGCACCTGTGTTATAGGAATGGAATTTGAGGAAAATGTTGCTTTTGTTAAGTGGTAAACAAGCCTACTCTTTGTCCTGGAGGGGGACATTATTTTATCCCCCAAAGCTGCTCATTGCAACACAATCCTGAGAAGTGGCCTGGGTAAGTCGTGGTCTAGGTCGTGCATTTTTGGCATACCCAGCAAGACTGTGTAGCAGTGTGAGAGACCCGTGGCAGAGTAGTTCTCCCAATAGTAAGTACATACAATAGGTAATTGACAGAAATCTTAGTAAGATTTATTATGAAATAGTTGCTATATATAAAGGTAAAAAAAGCCTGGCCATGAGGCTCAGTGGATGGAGCATCCTCCTATGGGCTGAGAGGTCCCAATTGGATTCCAGGTCAGGGCACATGCCTGGGTTGTGAGCTTGATCCCCAATAGGGGGCGTGCAAGAGGCAATTGATCAATGTTTCTCACATCAATGTTTCTCTGCCTTCCTCTCTCTCTAAAAAAGCCACTAAAAAACATTTTAAAAAAAGATAAAAAGAATAATATAATGAACAGCCATACAGTCATAACTCCACCGAGAAATAAACATTATCCATACAGTTAAAGCTTCCTGTGGACCCCTCTCCATACCAGTGCATTCCTGTGTATCCCTTATTATTATGTGGTATTTTGCATGTTTATAAACTTCTAAACAATTTTTTACTATAGTTTAAAAAGTTGTTAAAGAGTCTTTGTATATAATACCATTTTAAGCATTGTAGAAAAAAAATTAAAGGTAAAGCTCCTACATGTCATGATCTTACGGTTCAAGGAAAACTAAAAACACAGTGAAATATTTTATGTGTGAAAAATAAGAGTTGGTAAACAATATATAAATCTAAAGTCAGCTGTCAGCATCTAATATATGTAAGGGATAAGTATAGTTATAGTGGAGGGCCAAATACAATTAATTATTGTGGAAAATAGTGATTATGAGAGGCAGTAACAGTGAGAATTACAGGGATGAGACTCAGCCAAAGGAGATGAGAGAAGGGAGCTGGAAATAGTTAGCCAGCAGTGCAGTTAGCTAAGAGGTACAGTACATAGGCCCAGCATTCTGTCAGGTAACCATTTTAATTAGGAGGGATGGCTAAGACTAAGCCCTTGACTTCAAAGGACTTAACATCTAATTGCCAGGGGTAGTTACACATGGGAGAATTAGAGACCATCCAACGACCCTAATTGTTTAATGTGTGTTGTAGCAGTTAGGCAAAGAAAGCTTCAGTGAGAAGTCTTGAGATGGGCCTTGAATGGCAGATGATGATAAGGGTGCTCCAGGAAAGGGAGTGGGTGACGAGAGCACATGAGCAAAGACCAGACAGTGTATGTGGACTAGTGAGAAGACTGGCCTGTGTGAATTGTTTATGTTCAGGCCACTTGACCTATAGAGTTTCTCATGGTCTGGATTTTACTGATTGCATACTTATAGTGCAGTTTAGTTTTCCTCTGCCCTTTGTATTTCTTGCAAATTAACAACTGAACCCAGTAGCATGATGAGATTCAGGTTCAATCCCTTTGGCAAGACTATAGGTGGTGATGGTGTGTTATTTTATCACATCAAAGGTATATGTAAGGGTCTGGGGTTCATTTTAACACTACTTAACAAGCTAATAATTAGTCTCTTACTGTTTCATATTTTAACTTCATAGAGCTCCCTCTTATGTTGTTTCAAGTAGTGTTAAAAATATTAAGTGCTCCATATACACATTAATTTGGATTCTTTTTTCCATTTCTGTTACTACTATCTTACTCAGTTTGGATTCCTCTCCTAGCAGTTTCTTTTCAATGCAGAAGCCCAGCCCTGGGAAGAAGCCTTGGTTAGTTTATGAGTTTATTGGGCTAGAGTACTCTAGCTCCTTTGGACCTCACTGGGGACCCCTTGCAGTAGACAGAACCCCTCCAGTTTCTTTCTTTTTTTTAAATTTTTTTTCTTCAGATAGAGCGGGAGGGAGAGGGGGGGTGAGAGAGAGAGTGAAACATTGATGGGAGAGAGACACATCAGGTGGTTGCCACCCACACGACACCAACTGGGGCTGGGGACAAACTGCAACCAAGGTACGTGCCCTGAGTGGGAACCAAACCCGGGACTTTCTGGTCCACAGGCCGACGCTCTAACCGCTGAGCCAAACTGGCCAGGGCTTCAGTTTCAATTGCTATTCTCAAATTGGTCACATTGCTTTTCATTTAGCACTGGTTGTCTCAGGGTTCTATTCTCTGGTTTGTCAGATGCCTTATTGCTTCCCTCTGTGTTGATCTGCACAGCTGCTTATAGCTCTCATGTCTTGTGGCTGTTGATGGGTTTTCCCCTGCTGCTTGTATATGGGGGTTATAAGGATGCTTTATCTTTGTTTTTTTAATCCTCACCCAAGGACATACTTAGAGGAAGAGAGAGGGGGACACACAGAAAGGGAAAGAGAGAGAGAAACATTGATTAGTTACCTTTGTATGTGTCCCAATTGGGGATGGAACCTGCAACCCAATTATGTGCCCTGACTCGGAATCAAACCTGCAACCTTTTGGTACATGGGACGACGCTCAACCTACTGAGCCACTCTGGCATGGGCATTTTGTGTTGCTTTGTAGTTGCTCTGTTTTTATGTGGTAATTCAGAAATATCAAAAGGCTATGTTATGTCGCCACTGCTATAGCCAACTCCCCAGAATCCCCATTGTAGGTTCTGTGTAGAAAGTTGACACAATCATGAGTAGAATGATAGGTCTCACCTAACATCTTACATGGCATAGAGATAGTGTGGTCATTAGATATTTGTTCTTTAACGTTCTCTTCTCTAAATTCAGAAGTGTTATTGGCTGTAATGCCCATTTAACAGGTTCCCATGGAAATAATGGCTTCTTATCATTACTCTTTTCAGGTTCACTAAGAATCTTTCCCCAGACAAAATCAATTTGAGCACCCTGAAAGGGGAGGGTCAGCTGACCAACCTGGAGCTGGATGAAGAGGTTCTACAGAATGTGCTGGAGCTGCCTACCTGGTTAGCCATCACTCGGGTTTATTGCAACAGGGCCTCCATCCGGGTGAGAATGGGGATCAGAGTGCTGTTGCTCTCTTTGGTCTGCAGGCCTGTCTTCCAAAGTCCTGAGTCTTTGCTTTTCTCTTTCAGATCCAGTGGACAAAGTTGAAGACACATCCGATTTGCTTGGTAATGGTCTGTCTTGATTGCAAGTGATCAAATGGGGATGGCTGGGGTAGAGTTTTAAGAGATCTGAGAGAAGATGGGGAGGAGTGCTGATAGGCTGTCCCATTTGGGAGCTATGGGTGCTTTGTCTGGCCTGTAAACTCTCTGAGACAGAGTGGATATTGTCTGGACTTATTCTGGAACTGTTGGACAGTATAGGAATTAGCACTCAGACATAAGACCCAGGGAGTCCTGAGTTGGTTTTGTTTTGTAGGTTTTTATAAGTTTTGCTGCCCAACTACTGCCTTTAGATTTCCCCATTTTCCCTTAGAATCCTGACAGAGGAAAAACTAGTTTAGTTAATGTTGACTATTGGGTGATTATCAAATGACAGCTCTTTAAGAACTGATTGGCATATCTTTATCCCAAAGACTGGAATACCGAGCACTGGTAATATCTCTGTAACTAGTTTTAGTTTTCAACTGTGAGCTAATCCCATGCTTGTCATAGAGTTCTACTGCTAATGGCAATGAAAGGGGAAAGATGAGATCTCTCTTTGTATTTCAGTTTGTTCATTCATTCATTCAACAGATACCGTCTGCCCACTGTGAACGTGGCACTTGAGCACAGGGTTGAGTAAGACACAGTTTGTGCTCTCAGGGTTTTTGTGCAGATGCTTAGCTTTTTGTGACTTTTATTTCAGTGCCTGGATAAGGTGGAGGTGGAGATGAAGACATGTGAGGAGCCTCGACCTCCCAATGGACAGTCTCCCATTGCCCTTGCTTCAGGACAGAGGTTAGTCGGAAATATTTATGGTCCAGATCACCTTTTAGTTAAAAAATAAAAACTTTAAATTATGGAAAATTTCAAACATACACTCAAGTAGAGAAAATAGTGTAATGAAACCCCATGTACCCAACATCTAACTTTAACAATTATTAACATTTGGCCATTTTTTTTCACCTTTCTCCTTTCATTTTGTGTGGTGTGTGTGTCTGTGCTCTAGTACTTGAAAGCAGTTTCAGACACCATATAATTCCACTTGTAAATACTTCTGTATCATGTATCTTTAACAGACAAGGACTGGGAAGAAAAGAAAAAAAGAACCCACAATACTGTTATCACAATTAATAGGAATTCCTTAATATTACCAATGTGTATTTCATATTCACTTTTCCTGAATTGTCTGTAAAATATTTTTTATAATACACTGTGGATCAAAGAGCTCTGTACATTATATTTGGGTGATGTAAGTTTTAAAACTTTTTTTCTCTTAATCCTTACCCGAGGATATTTTCCATTTATCTTCAGATAGAATGGGAAGGAGAGAGAGAGAGACAGAAACATCAATGTGAGAGAGGCACATCAATTGGTTGCCTCCCACACGATCCAACGAGGGCAGGGACCAAACTGCAATCAAGGTACCTGCCCTTCACTGGAATCGAACCCAAGACTTTGGTCCTTGGGCCGATGCTCTAACCACTGGACCAGACTGGCCAGGGCGAGTGTTAAAGCTTTTTAATTCTAATCACTACCCCCTACCACACACACTTTTTTTTTTTTTTACCTTAATCCTCACCTGAGGATATTTTTTCCATTGCTGTTTAGAGAGAATAGAAGGGGGGAGTAGAGAAAGAGAAACATCGATGTGGCAGAGACATATCGACTAGTTGCCTCCCGCACATGCCCCTCCCGGGGCTAGGGATTGAACCTGCAAGCCAAGTACGTGCCCTTTACCAGGAATTGAACCTGTGACCCTTTGGTGCACAGGCTGGTGTTCTAACCACTGAGCAAACTGACCAGGGGCACATACACACTTTTTAAAAATTTAAAATTTAAATTTTATTTATTTATTTTTTCCTTCTTTATTGATTTTTGAGAGAGAGGAAGGGGGAGGGAGAGAGAGAGAGAAACATCTATGAGAGAGAACATTGATTGGCTGCCTCCTGCCTGCCCCCCACTGGGACTTGGCCCATAACCTGGGCATGTGCCCTGGACAGGAATTGAACCAGTGACCTCTTGGTGCATGGGTCTATGCTCAACCACGGAGCCACACCAGCTGGGCACCCACACTTTTTAATATACCATTTATTCTTTGTAGAAGCTGGATTATTTTTTATGAGGAATTTTTCACATTTTATATTTTTGTCTGATTGTGTCCTCAAAGTGTCATTTAAAAGGTTTCTCATTTAGCTCTGGCTGGTTTGTCTCAGAGGTTAGAGCGTTGGCTCATGACCAGACAGGTCCGGGTTCGGTTTCCAGTAAGGGCATGGACCTTGGTTGCAGTTTGTCCCCAGCACCAGTTGGGGTTGTGTGGGTGGCAACCACTTGATGTGTTTCTCTCACATCGATGTTTCTCTCTCTCTTTCCCCCTCTCTCCTTTCCGCTGTATGTGAAGATAAATGCAAAAATGTCCTCAGGTGAGGATGAAAAAAAAAAGTTTCTCATTTAGTTTGGTAGTTAGATTTAAAGACTTGTTTTGATTCAGTTTTTGTTTTTTTTTGGTAAGAATATTTCAGAAATAGTACTGTGTATTTCCTATTGTAACATATCTGGATACACATAATATTTCTTTGGTTAAGATTAATCAGTGGTCCTGGCCGGTTTTGCTCAGTGGTTAGAGCATCGGCCCGCGGTCCAGAGAGACCTGGGTTCGGTTCCCGCTAACGGCATGTACGTTGGTTGCAGTTTGTCCCCGGCCCCAGTTGGGGTTGTGTGAGTGGCAACCACTCGATGTGTCTCTCCCACGTATTTGTTTCTCTCTCTCTTTTCCCACCTCTTTCCCTCCCACTCTACTGAAGGTAAATGCAAAAATGTCCTCAGGTGAGGATAAAAAAAAAGATTAATTAGTGGATTTAAATGATGTTGGCCTGACCCTGGCTGGTGTGGCTCAGTTGGTTGAGCATAGTCCCATGCACCAAGAGGTCACCAGTTTGATTTCCCATTAGGGCACATGCCTGGGTTTCTGGCTTGATCCCCAGTAGTGGGTGTGCAGGAGGCAGCCAATTGAGGCTTCTCTCTCACATCGATGTTTCTGTCTCTCTCCTTCTCCTTTCCTCTCTCTCTCTAAAGATCAGTAAACATACATCTAATAAATAAATGTGATGTCATCTTGATTTGTGCATATGATAAGATCCTCTTCTACCTTTCACCTTGTGGTTTAAGGAGCATTGACGGTAGTTGTCTAGATCTTTATTTTATTGTGGGATTCAAAATAGGGATTTTATAATTATTTTTTTCCTTTTGCATTTATTTTCTGTAAAGAATTTTCTTTCACCAACTATTTGATTACCCTGAAATACAGTTTGTATAGGAATGACAGGATAAATATTGGATTTTTTACCTTTATCAAATTTAAGAATCACATATACCTGAAACTAACGCAATGTTATATATAAATTATATCTCAGTAAACAAAGAATTATGAGTTGACACCCTAATAATCTCTAAAGAGATTTTTTGAGGGGTGGGGAGAGGATGGAAAAGGTTTATTATTTTTGAATCCATGGATTTTTTTTTATAGCTTTTTTATGTTATAATGGACATAAAATAGATTGCACACATATAAAGTATATAGTTTGATAAGTTTTGGCATATGCATATACCCATGAAACCATCACCACAATCACAATAATGAACATACTCATTACCTCCGTACATGTTGTTCTCCTTTGTATCTCCTCCCTTCCATTTCCTCCTCTTCCTTCTATCCCCAAACATTGCCTTTCTGTTACTATAGATTAGTTTGCATTTTCTATAACTTCATATAAATGAAATAATATAGTATGTACACTGTTTTTTTTTTTATTCAGCATAATTATTTTGAGATTCATTCATGTTACTGAGTGTATCAGTAGTTCACCCCTGTTATTGCCAAGTAATAATATTCTTTTGTGTTGATATACCACAACTTGTTATCCATTCGTTGATGGACATTTTATTTCCCAATTTGGCTGATGTGAGTATTGCTGCTATGAACATACATATACAAGGTTTTGTGTGGTTATGTGCTTTTATTTCTCTTAGGTAAATATCTAAGAATAAAATAGTTGGGTGGTGTAATAAATAAGGATTTAACTTTTTACAAATTGTCATACTTTTCCAGAGTAGTTTACTATTTTACATTTTTTTTTTTTTATCCTCACCCGAGGATATTTTTCCTTTTTTTTGTACAGATAGAGTGGGAGGGAGAGAGAGGAAGGGAGAGAGAGAGAGAAACATCGATGTGAAGGGACACATCGAGTGGCTGCCACCCGCACGACCAACCAGGGCCGGGGACAAACTGCAACCGAAGTACGTGCCCTTAGCAGGAACCGAACCCGGGTCTCTCCGGACCGCAGGCCGACGCTCTAACTGCTGAGCCAAACTGGCCAGGGCTATTTTACATTTTTATATACTACATTTATTTTTACTTTTTATTATTTTTTTTACTTTTTATTTTTTTATCCTCACCCGAGGACATTCTTCCATTTTTTGTTCAGATAGAGTGGGACGGAGAGAGAGGGAGAGAGAGAGAGAGAGAGAGAGAGAGAGAGAGAGAGAGAGAGAGAGAGAGAGAGAGAGAGAAACAGAAACATCGACGTGAAAGGGACACATTGAGTGGCTGCCACTTGAAATCATTCTTCACGTGATTTGGTACTAATTTGACATACAGAGAGATTCATTTGTTTCAGATTTTTTTTAAAAAAGATGTTTTTGTGCTTGGTTCAGCAGCACATTTACTAAAATTGGAACGATACAGAGAAGATTAGCATGGCCCTGGGTAAGGATGACATGCAAATTCGTGAAGCATTTCATGTTTTTTAAAATGAGAAAAAAATAAAAGACATTTTTAATAGTAGTTTTAGGTTCACATTAACATTAAGAGGAAGGTACAGAGATTTTCCCATATACCCCTGCTCCACCCTGCCATGTGCATAGCCTCTCCCATTGTCAACATCCTCTACCAGAGTGATACATTTGTTACCACTGATGAACCCACCTTAACTCATCATAATCAGCCAAAGCCCATAGTTTACTAACATTAAGGTTCACTCCCGTGGGTACATTTTATGTTTTTGAACAAATGTATAATGACTTTTGTCACTCATTATAGAATCATGCAGTGTATTTCACTGTTCCAAAAATCCTCTTTCTATTCGTCTTTCTTCTCAACCCCAACCCCTGGCAATCATTGGCCTTTTCATTATGTCTGGTTTTTCCTTTTTCAGAATGTCATATCATTGAAATCATAGAGTATGATTTTATTTTTTTTCAGATTGGTTTCTTTCACTTAGTAATATGCATTTATGGTTCTTCCATGTCTTTTTATGTCTCTCTTGCTCATTTCTTTTTATCACTGAAGTATATTTCATTGGGGACCACAGTTTATCAGTTCATCTACTGAAGGACACCTTGTTTGCTTTCAGATTTTGGCAATTATGAATAAAGGTGCTATAAATGTCTATGTGCAAGTTTTTGAGGGAACATAAGATTTCATCTGTCGTGGGTGAATAAGAAGGAACAGACTTATGGGAAGAATATGATTAGTTTTGGAAGAAACTGCCAAACTGTCTTCCATAGTGGCTGTATCATTTTGCATTATAACCAACAATCAGTGCGAGTTCCTGCTGCTGTACATACTTGTTAGAATTTGGTGCTGTCAGTGTTCTGGGTTTTGGCTGTTCTGATAGGAGTGTAGTGGAGTCTCATTGTTTTAATTTACATTTCCCTGATGACATGATGTAGAGAATCTTTTCATATGCCTATTTGCCATTTGGGTATCTTTGGTGAGGTATCTAATAAGGTCTTTGGCCTATTTTCTAATTGATTTTTTTCTGTTTTTTTTATCCTTACCTGAGGACATTTTTCCATTTTTTATTTAGATAGAGCAGGAGGGAAAAAGAAGAAGAGAGAGAGAGAGAGAGAGACAGAGAGAGAGAGAGAGAAACACATTGAGTGGCTGCCACCTGCACGACCCAACCAGGGCCGGGGACAAACTGTAACCGAGGTACCTGCCCTTAGTGGGAAGTGAACCCGGGTCTCTCCAGACCACAGGCCAGTGCTCTAACCACTGAGCAAACCAGGCAGGGTGGGTGTTTTTCTTATTGTTGAGCTTTAAGAGTTCTTTTTATATTTTGGATAAATCTTTGATCAGATGTGTCTTTTTCGAGTCTTTTGCAAGTCTGTGGCTTATCTTCTCATTCTCTTGATACTGTCTTTGCAGAACAGAAGTATTTAATTTAACAAAGTCCAGCTTATTCATATTTCTTTCATGAATCTTGTCTTTGTTGTTGTATCTAAAAAGGCATCACCATATCCAAGATCATCTACATTTTCTCCTATGTTATCTTCTAGGAGTTTTATATTAGTTTGTTTTTAAATTTATTTTTTAGCCTGGGCCAGTGGTTGAGCATCGACCCATGCATTAGGAGGTCGCTGGTTCAATTCCTGGTCAGGACACATGCCCAGGTTGTGGGCCCGATCCCCTGTGGGGGCATGCAGGAGGCGGCCTATCAGTGTTCTCTCTCATTAATGTTTCTATTTCTCTTTCCTTCTCCCTTCCTCTCTCTCTAAAATCAATAAAGGAAAATAAATAAATAAATAAATTTATCTTTTAACTGAGTCAAATTACGTAGTTCCAAAGTTAAAATTATAAAACAAAGTATGTTATATGTATATTTATTTCTGTTGTCCTCACTCCCTTTCTTACACAAAATGTAGTATACCATAAACACTTTGCATTGTGCTTTTTTTCTTTTAAAAGTATATCGTGGCCCTGGCCAGTTTGGCTCGGCGGTTAGAGCGTCGGCCTGCGGTCCAGAGAGACCTGGGTTTGGTTCCTGCTAAGGGCATGTACCTCGGTGGCAGTTTGTCCCTGGCCCTGGTTGGTCGTGTGGGTGGCAGCCACTCAATGTGTCCCTTTCACATTGATGTTTCTCTCTCTCTCTCTTCCTCTTTCTCCCTCCCACTCTCTCTGAACAAAAAATGGACAAATGTCCTCAGGTGAGGATTAAAAAAAAAAAAAAGTGTATCCTGGAGCCCTGGCCGGTTTGGCGCAGCAGTTAGAACATAGGCCTGTGGTCCAGAGAGACCCGGATTCGGTTCCCGCTAAGGGCACGTGCCTCGGTTGCAGTTTGTCCCTGGTCCTGGTTGGGGTCATGTGGGTGGCAGCCAGTAGATGTGTCTCTCTCACATCGATGTTTCTCTCTCTCTCTTTCTTCCTTTCTCCCTCCCACTCTATCTGAAGATAAATGTAAAAATGTCCTCAGGTGAGGATAAAAAATAAAATAAAAAAAGTATGTCCTGGAGATCACTCTATAGAAGTGTTCCTTCTTTCTTTCTTTTTTTTATTATCGATTTTTAGAGAGAAAGGAAGGGAGAAGGAAAAAGATAGAAATATCGATGAGAGAGAACATCGATTGGCTGCCTCCTGCAAGTCCCCCACTGGGGATTTGGCCCACAACCCGGGCATGTGATATGACCAGAATTGAACCAGTGATGTCTTGGTGCATGGGTCGATGCTCAACCACTGAGCCACATTGGCCGGGCACTTATTTATTTATTTATTTATTATCCTCACCCGAGGATATTTTTCCTTTTTTTTTTTTTTTTTTTTTTGTACAGATAGAGTGGGAGGGAGAGAGAGGAAGGGAGAGAGAGAGAGAAACATCGATGTGAAGGGACACATCGAGTGGCTGCCACCCGCACGACCAACCAGGGCCGGGGACAAACTGCAACCGAGGTACGTGCCCTTAGCGGGAACCGAACCCGGGTCTCTCCGGACCGCAGGCCGACACTCTAATCGCTGAGCCAAACTGGCCAGGGCTGGGCACTTATTTCTTTTTGCACTTGCAGGATATTTTATTTTTATGTAGTATTTTATATATATATATTTAAAATTTTTTTTTCTTTATTGATTTTTAAAGAGAAAGGAAATGAGAGATAGAAACATCGATGAGAGAGACCATCAACTGGCTGCCTCCTGCATACCCCGCACTGGGGATCAGGCCCACAACCTGGGCATGTGTCCTGAGCGGGAATTAAACTGGTGACTTCTTGGTGCATGGGTCGATGCTCAACCACAGAGCCACACTGGCTGGACTAGTAATATCTTATAGAGGTATGATAGATATATGGCCATTTCTCTATTGATAGATATTTGAATTATTTCCAGGTTCTTTGCTGTTAAAAATAGTGCAGCAATAAATGACCTGTTCATAAGTCACTTAGTATTTTGTCAGCACATTTTTCAAAAACAGCTTTATTGAGATATAATTTTCATACCATAGAAGTCATCCATTTAAAATGTTCAGTTTAGTGGTTTTTAGTATATATACCAGGTTGTGTGATCACCACAATCAATTTTAGAACTTTTATTTTTTTTGGTTAATTCTTACACCAGGTTTTTTATTTTTTTAATCCTCACCTGAGGACATTTTTTCATTTTTTTGTTCAGATAGAGTGGGAGGGAGCGAGGGAGGGAAGGAGAGAGAGAGAGAGAGAGAGAGAGAGAGAGAGACACACATCTATGTGAAAGGGACACATTGACTGACTGCCTTCCGCATTGACCCAACCAGGGCCAGGGACAAACTGCAACTGAGGTACGTGCCTTTAGCGGGAACTGAACCTGGGTGTCTCTGGACCACAGGCTGACGCTCTAACCGCTGAGCCAAATCAGCCAGGGCAGTGCAGTGATTTCCTAAGTTAACACGTTAGGAAACAGTATCCCAGAAACCTTCTGTGTCCTTTATAATCATACCCACCCCTAAGGATAACTTTTATCCTGATTTTTAATGCCATACGTTGGTTTTTCCTATTTTAAAAATTATTATTTTTTAATTCTCACCTGAGGATATGTTCATTGATTTTAGAGAAAGAGGAAGGGAGAAGAGAGAGAGAGAAAGAGAGACATCTTGCCTCTTGAGGGATTGAACCCCCAATATAGGTATATGCCTTGACTAGGAATCGAACCTGCAACCTTTTTTGGTATACAGAATGACACTTCAACCAACTGAACCATGTGGCCAGGGCTGGGTTTTTTTCAATAAATATGTACAGTACTATATATGTGTTTTCTCTTCCATATGATTTTCTTAATATTTTCTTTTCTCTAGCTTACTTTATTGTAAGAATACAGTATATTATACATATAACATACAAAATGTGTTAATCAACTGTTTATGTTACTGGTAAGGTTCTGGTCAACAGTAAGCTCTTAGTAGTTAAGTTGGGAAAGAGTCGAAAGTTATATGTGAATTTTCGACTGCATCAGGGAGTCAGTGTCCCAAGCCCCCTGTTGTTCAAAGGTCAACTGAATATATTTGTTTGTTTTAGTTTGTAATTCCCAGACCTTCTTTTCCTCTCTTGTAATGAGAATTGATTTCACTTAAATGTGAAGAATGTCTTTGTTTTCCACATCCAGTAGTACTACAAGATGATTTTTATTTTTCTCCTTGCCATTTCTGGCCTCTCACTGTGGAAGTACACTTACTATCTTTGAGATGGATTTGATAGAGTAAAGGTGGGACTGTTTTTCATAAAATTTCACAGTATTATACCTCTTGCTCACCTAGCTGTATTTCTTTCCTCTTTCCGTGGCCTTTGCAGAGTATGCTCTGTCCTTTGAAAACTTTATAGAAACTTAGTGTTTCCTTTCTGTAGTTATACCTCCCCTCACAGAAAATACTCAAATGTTTATTTCAGGTAATTTGTGAACTATAAAAAGATTTTTCAATTTATTCTTTGTACGAGGAAGGAGATTGTTTCTTGGTAAACTCTTTCTTTTATTCCATTTTTTCTTTAAGAAGTCTCATTAAAAAGAGTACTGCATCATCATAAAATTTTATTAGCAGTTTAAAAAATACAAGAACGTAGAAATGGGAGGGGAGAAATAAAGGAAAAAAATCATCCATAGTTCTAGCACCTAAAGGTGAGCATTGTTAACAGTCTTGTCTGCTGTATTGCAGAACAAAGAGTGTATATGGTTGCACACGATTCTGAACTTGTTCTGCCTCCTTTGTTGTAGTGAGTATGGCTTTGCCGAGAAGGTGGTGGAAGGGATGTTTATTATCGTCAATTCCATCACCATCAAGATTCACTCCAAGGCCTTCCACGCTTCTTTTGAATTGTGGCAGCTTCAGGGCTATAGTGTCAACCCCAGCTGGCAGCAGAGTGACCTCCGTCTCACCCGCATCACCGACCCCCACCGAGGAGAGGTGACAGCCCTTGTATTGCACAAGGAGAGAAGGGGGGATTTAAAAGTAGGACTGATTATTAAAGGATAGTATTCCTGCGTTGGGGGATTTCCTCAAATGATCCCCTGTTCCTGAGAATGCAGGCATCCCTCTGTCCAGTGTTATTGCTATATTCTTTCCTCAATTATGGATCTCTGATCCATTGCCTTCTATTGGTGGAATCCCAACTGAGAGTGGTGGGAGTCTCTACCTTGCTAGTCTTTTTCCCTTGGACTTCTTGCCTTTTGGTTAATTTAATCCACAGAAAAGGGATTTTACTCTCTCTCTCCTTCCAGGTTTTAACATTTAAGGAAATAACTTGGCAAACACTTCGGATTGAGGCAGATGCTACAGACAATGGTGATCAGGACCTAGTCACCACCCCACTGAGGCTTATTACCAACCAAGGCAGAATCCAAATAGCCCTCAAGAGACGAGTGAGTGTGTTCTCTGTCCTCATGAAAACTTCCATCTCCCATTCTCCTAGACAGCCTGGGAGTTGATGTACTGTCTTTTCTTGATGTTATTGGCCTCTGGAATGAAAGTTAAAAGGGCAGGGCCTGTCATTCAGTGTTGCATAGTACCCACTAATAAGAGAACATTTCCACCTCCCTGTCATTTTAATTTTGGAAACCACAATTTTTACCCATGTATAAGAACACTGACATAGGTAGCTGGCTGTTGTCTGTTGCTGCTTTAGTAGTTTTAAGAAATTGACTCTCCAAAGTGCCTGATACTTTCCTTTTATGTCCTGGGGATTGAAAAGCCATCTCTGAAATTGATTGGGCAATAGTGACTTTGAAGAGTTGGAATGATACAAGATGTTGAATCTGTGTTCTGTGTGGCACCTTCAGACCAAAGATTGCAATGTGGTAGCCTCCAAGCTGATGTTCCTGTTGGACGACCTGCTCTGGGTGCTGACTGACTCACAGCTCAAGGCTATGATGAAGTATGCAGAGTCACTGAGTGAGGCCATGGAGAAGTCTGCCCAGCAGAGAAAGAGCCTGGCCCCTGAACCTGTACAGGTATAATACTATGGTGGGGCTGTGGAAATGGTAGGCCCAACCTAATTCATGCCAACATAGGTGGAGTCTAGACTTTATTTGGCTTATTTGGGGGATTTGTCATTTGCTTCTCGATGTGCATAGGCTTTGCCTCGGCCTCTGATTTATTAATTTATTCTGTTCACTGGATGCCTCTGGTGTGTTAGGAATATAATGCTCACCACTGGAGAGGAAAAGTAGAATAATGCTCTTGTTCCTGTCCTTGGAGTTCTTGTTTTGAAATATGTACCATCAACAAGTTATTGCACTAGGATGTGATAAATGCTGTAGCAGTATGCTGTGAGAGCACAAAGACAAGGCATCTAACTACCGGGGCTGAAAGAGGGTATTTAGGGAAGACTCCTGAGTAGGTGTTTTAGCATCAGTCAGCTCAGTCCTGAGGGGTAAGTGCTTGGAGGGCAATTCAAATCTCAGAACAGTACTCTGACAGTTACTGGACTAATTTTAAATAGGCTTTTTGGAATTTGGGTAATTTAGGTGGGACAGACCTGAGTTATAAGATGAACAGCTATGAGAGGGAAGGGGCATCTTGTTGAATTGTGCTTTTCTTTAGGCTGGACTAAAACTTTAAAAAGCATGCAGAGGAGTCTCTCAGGGTCTGGACGTCTTGTTTTTCTCTCTGCCGCATGTAGACCACTCCACCTGCTCCCAGTGCCCACCAGTCCTGGGCCCAGGCATTTGGTGGCAGCCAGGGCAGCAGCAGCAACAGCAGCAACCGCCTCAGCCAGTACTTTGAGAAATTTGATGTGAAAGAGTCCTCCTACCATCTGCTCATCTCCCGCCTGGACCTGCACATTTGTGATGATAGCCAGTCCCGAGAGCCAGGTACCCCGTGAGGCCTGAGCCTGGGCAAAGCTTGGGGAGGAAGGCTGTTTTCCAGAGATACTGTGGAGTACTTTGGTTGGCTTTCCTTAATCACAGGCATTCCTTGAGCCTCAGCCTTCCTGTGTTAGCTCTTCCTGTCAGTGTAAGCAGTGCTCTTTGCCCTTTACAGTGCAGCAGAACCACCTGTAATACTTGATAAAATACAGATGCCTGGGCCCTCCCCGGGCTCTACTTCAATCAGAATCTTCCGGGGTACAGCCCCAGCAGTGCATATGTTATTTTATCTCCAAAAGTCCCTTGGGCAGTGCTGACCACTGATGTAAGTGTTAGGGAAAAAAATTCAACTGTAGGAAATGCAAAATTTTCAGCGTTTTAAATCAGCTTAAATAATTATTATGTGTAAATGTGCTCTTCATTACTGCAATTGGTATATACACACATTCCTTTCTTCATGAGCCTTGGGGAAATCACTTTAACTGCTTGCTTAATGTCTTTGAGTTCCTTTATTTGTGAACTTGAATTAAATTACATCTTGATTACCTCACAGGTTGTTGTCAGGCTCAAATGAGATAAATACTGAATTTCGAGGACCTTAATTATAGACGAATATTAAGAAATACTGTTCTGATGCCCGATTCTTTAATACTCTGTGTTTACTCCATATTTCCTTTTGCCACTAGTTCTTGATTTTACCTGCTCTCATATGGTAGATTTGTCTCTTGCTGCCTTATCTTCTCTGAAGGTTATGTTTGCCTTTTTTTCTTTTTCTTTTAGAGAGCAAGAGGAAGGGTGAGAGAGAGAGAAGAGAAAGAAACATCTATCAGTTGCCTCTTATACACAACACATTCTGATTAGGGATCAAGCCTGCAATGTGGGCATGTGTCCTGACCAGAAATAAAACCCTCTACCCTTTGGTCCATGGGATGAAGCTCCAGCCAGCTGAGTCACACCAGTAAGACTAGTTTGCCTTTTAATGAGAACTACACTAATTTTCCATGGGGGAGCCCACCTTTTCTTCCTGAGGCACCAAGCAGCATTGCCTCTCTTGCTTGGCTATTCCTTGGTCTTCAGTGACTTCAGCCCCACCTCTTCTCCCACTCAGAGAGCTGAAAGGAACAGTGACAGCATCAAGACTGCTTTTGCCACCATAGGAAATAAATTATTGCTCACTAATTTGTCACCCATTCATTTTGGAAGTTCTTAAAATGGGTTTTTTTGTTTTTTTTTTATTGTTTCTTTCAAGTGTTACTATAAAGGCTTTGGCTTTTTGTTGTTGTTGTTTTGTTTTCAATTCTTTCAGAATTCTTTATTGAGTACATTATTGAGTCCTGGCTGGTTTGACTCAGCAGTTGGAGCGTTGGCCCATGGACCAAAGAGTGGCGGGTTCAATTCCCGTCAAGGGCATATACCTCGGTTGTGGTTCAATCTCTGGCCCTGGTTGGGGTCATGCAGGAGGCAACCAGTCAATGTGACTCTCTCTCCCTCCCACTCTATCTGAAGATAAATGGAAAAATATTCTCAGATGAAGACTAAAAAAAAAGAGAGTACATTATGGAGAGTTTCATCCTCTTGCTTGATGAGGGGTGTAGAGCCAACTGTTCTTTCAGGAGGCAGTACCCTCTAATCCACATTGTGATGCTAATAACTGTAGCCTTTCCTACAGCCCCCATTTATTTATTAAACAAAATTAATCTACTTGGTGGAATTTGTGGAAGTTTTGGGTGAGATATTTTTAGATGGGGGTAACTCCCAGCCTACTATACCCAGGTGTGGTGAATGACACTAAAGGAGAAAGAACAGGAAGAGTTCTTGACACTGACTCTTCTTGGATTTAGGGAGAAAGGAGAAGGGAGAACTGGGTGGTGCAGAAAGGGCTTTAAGATTCTTTCGAGTTGTTCTGTTCAAGTGACTACTGGACACTTGAAATGTTGGCTGACCCAAATTGAGATGTGCTACAAGTGTAATACACATGGGATTTTAAAGCTATAGTACAAAAACACAGGGCAGAATATCTTCATAATTATTTTTACATTGGTGACATGTTGAAATGATAATATTTTGGGTATATTGATTTAAATAATATGTATTAAAGTTAATTTTGCTTTTTAAAAAACTTTTTCATGTGACTACTAGAAACTTTAAACCCATGGCTCACATGATATTTCTATTGGATAGTATTGCTATATAATTCTGTTCAATATGGTAGCCACTAGCCATGTGTGGTTATTTAAATTAAAATTAAACAAAATTAAATGAATTTTTTATTTGCACCAGCCACATTTCAAGTACTCAGTATGATTTGTAGGCTGTGGAAGATGTCCATCATCACAGAAAGTTCTTCTGGACAGTGCTGCTGTGGAGACTAATTGAAGGCTCCCCGACTAACACACTCCTGTAGCCCTTGGTGTTAGAGGTGAAATGATTGGAAACTGAGTGGGTTGTTAGGGACAGTTTGGCTGTTAGGGCAGCACTGTCTCACTTTTTTTTTTTTTTTTTTTTTTAGTCCTCACTGGAGGATATGTTTTTATTGATGTTAGGGAGAGAGAGAAACATCAATGTGAGAAGCATCATCAGTTGATTGCTTCCCATGTGTGTATCGACCCAGGATCAAACCCACAGCATTTTGGTGTATGGGATGATGCTCCAACCAATGGAGCAAGGCAGCACTATTTCTTAAAATCAAACTGGATCCTTGACATGGGTCTTGACAATGTTTTTTGGATTTGACACCAAAAGCCAAGGCCACAAAAGCAAAAAATGGACAAGTGCGACTACATCAAACTAAAGAGCTTCTGCACAGCACAGGAAACCATCAACAAAATGAAAAGGCAACCTATCAAATGAGAGAAAATATTTGTAAATCATATATCTGATAAGGGATAATATCCAAAACATAATATAACTCAGTAGCAAAAAAACCAAACAGTCCAATTAAAAAGCGGTAGAGGATTTGAATACACATTTTTCCAAAGAAGACATATAGATGGCAAACCAGGTACATAAAAAAGTATTCAACATTACTACTTATCAGGGAAATGCAAATCAAATCCACAGTAAGATATCACCTCACACCTGTTAGAATGGTTATTATCAAAAAGACAAAAGAAGTAAGTATTGGCAAGGATGTGGAGAAAAGGAATCCCTTGTGCAGTGTTGGTGGGAATGTAAATTGGTGCAGCCACTAGGGAAAACAGTATGGAGGTTCCTCAAAAAGTTAAAAATAACCCGGCTGGTGTGGCTCAGTAGGCTGAGCATCGTCCCATGGACTGAGAGGTCCCAGTTCGATTCCTGGTCAGGGCACATGCCGGGTTGCGGGCTTGATCCCCAGTGGGGAGCATGCAGGGAGCAGCTGATCGATATTTCTCTCTCACAACAATGTTTCTATCTCTTTCTCCCTTACTCTCTAAAAATATCAATAAAATATATTTTAAAAAACTTAAAAATAGAACTACCATATGATCCAGCAATCCCACTTGTAGCCAAAGGAAGAGAAAATACTAACAAAAATGTATCTGCACCCCCGTTTATTGCATCATTATTTACAAATAGCCAAGATATAGAAGCATCCTAAATGTCCATTGATGGGTGAATGGATAAAGAAAATGAATAAAGTGACCCAAATGTCTGTTGATAAATGAATGGATAAACATAAACACATACACGCACACACACTGAAATGTTATTCAACCATAAAAAGATTCTGCCATTGTGACAACATGGTTGGACATTAAGAGCATTATGCTAAGTAAAGTAACTTAGGGAAAAACAAATACAGTATGACCTCACTTATATGTGGAATATAAAAAACAGAAGTAATTGAACTCTTAGATATTGAGCACAGATTGGTGGTTTCCAGAGGGAGGGGGACTAAATGTATGAAGGGAGTCAAAAGGTACAAATGCTATATGTAAATAGGTCATGGAGTTATGAAGTACAATATGGTGACTACAGTTAATAATACTGTATTGTTTATTTTAAAGTCGCTAAGAGAGTAGATCCTTTTTTTTAATTGTTGAAAGTATTACAGATGTCCCCCTGTTTTTCTCCCTTTACCCCCTCCTACCCTCTCCCACCCCCCTCCTGCTTTCTCCAAACTATTGTTTGTGTCCATTGGTTGTGTATATATGCATATAAGTTCTTTGGTTTATCTCTTCCCAACCCCTGGAACCCCCATCCCTCTGAGGTTTGTCAGTCTGTTCCCTACTTCCATGTCTCTGGATCTATTTTGATTGACAGCTTATTTTGTTCATGATATTCCATAAATAAGTGAGATTATGTAGTACTTAATCTTTCTCTGACTGGCTTATTTTGCTCAGCATAATATTCTTCAATGTCATCTCAAAGGGTAAGAGATCTTTCTTTCTTACAGCTGTATAGTATTCCATTTTGTAAATGTATCACAGCTTTTTTATCTGTTCATTTACTGATGGACACCTGGGCTGTTTCCAGATCTTAGCTATTGTAAATAGCACTGCTGTGAACATAGGGGTGCATATACTCTTTCTGATTGGTGTTTCAGGCTTCTTAGGATATATTCCTAGAAGTGAAATCACTAGGTCAAATGGCAATTCCATTTTTAATTTTTTGAGAAAACACCATATTGTTTTCCATAGTGGCTGCACCAGTCTGCATTCCCACCAGCAGTGTGCTAGAGTCCCATTTTCTCAGAGAGTAGATCTTAAACATTCTCATAACAAGAAAAAAGTTTGTAACTATGTGTGTAATGGATGTTAACTAGATCTATTGTGGTGATCATTTCAAAACATATAAAAATATTGACCCAGGCGGTTGGCTGAGTTGATTGAGCATTATCTTGTGCACCAAGATGTCACTGGTTTGATTCCTTGTCAGGGCACATGCCTCAGTGGTGTTTACGCACGCGCGCGCGCTTGCGTGCAGGAGGCAGCTGATTGATGTTTTTCTTTCATTGATGTTTCTCTCTGTCTCTCTAAAAAAATCAATAAAAACATATTTTTTAAAAACAGGGATCAGGCCCTGGC